TCTCCAGTTGTATTCGTGGTTTCATCTAGTTCTCTCTGCAGTTCTCAGTATGCATTTCAACACACTGTTGTTCATGCATACACATTAAGGATTGTTGTTTCATCTTGGAATATTGGCTGTATCATCTTTTTTTTTTTTTTTGCTCTATATCATTTTACTTCTCTCTGAAGAACTTTTTGTTGATCTGAGACAGTCTTTATTTCTGTTTTCACTTTTGAAGGATAATTTGACAGGGTACAGAATTATCCTGGTCTGATAATTCCAATCTCTACCATATCTGAGTCTGGTTTTAATGTTTGTTCGGTCTCTTCAAATTGCATTTTTTGCCTGTTAGTATGCCTGGTAATTTTTTTGTTGACAGCCAGACATGTGCACTAGCTAAAAGGAATGATGATAAATAGATCTCTAGTGACATAGTCATAATGCATGGGGAAGGGAAAGGTTCTGTAGTCCTATGATTATTAGATCTAAGTGTTCAGTGAGTTTGAGCCCAAACTATGAGCTCTCTCCGTGCTTCTCAGTTTGTTTTTGTTTGTTTTTGGTTTTGATTTACTCTGTTAGGTGGGATGGGATGTCTGGAAGGGACTGGAGTTGTGTATTTGCCTTCCCCCATTTATGTTAATTAGGTTTTGATAAAACCCCAATAGTTTAGGTTCTGGTAAAATAGTTTTTCTTAAAGGCAGATCTTATTAAGAAGAACAGAATTCTGGCATACTTCAAAGAGTTTCTTTTCCCCTCCTATTGCTGGAGACCCAAGGGGATTTTTCTCCAACATTTACTGTGAGGACCTGATAGCACTCCTGGATATAAAAATCACAAAGTTTGGGGTCCCTCTATAACTAGATTCCCCCTGGGATTTTTAAGTCTCAGACATGTCCATACCGAGCCTCTAGCAATTCATCAATTATCCAGGTTCTCCTACTCAGGGACTTGTTTCTGCAGAGGTTCTTTGCTTGTAGGTTTCTGCTCTGGTAGGTTGTGAATCTCTGTATTTGCCTGTCTGTCTCTCCAGTTCTGGGGGCGCTGGTTTGCCCCGTGGCTTCATGTCTCTCATGCGTCTAGGAAGAGATGTTGATTCTTCAGGTTGTTAGGCCTTTTACTTGTTGCCAGGATAGAATGGTGGCTTAAGTTCCTTCTATTTTGGACCAGATACTTGGAAACCTTCACTTAATTTTGACAATCCACCAATGATCTGTGAACCACAGTTTGAAAAACCATTTTAAATTACTGTTGACCCTTGAACAGCATGGGGATTTAGGAGCACTGACCCCACATACAGAGGAAGAATCCATTTATAAGTTTTGATTCCCCTAAAACTTAACTACTAACAGCCTACTGTGAGGACTGGGAGCCTTACTGACAACATAATAGTCAGTTAACACATATTTGTACATTATATATATCATATATTGTATTCTTACAATAAAGTCAGCTATAGAAAAGAAAAATTAAGTAAATCATGAGGAGAAAATATATTTACAGTACTGGGCTGTATTTGTCAATACTGTAAGTTCACATTGACTGTTTATAAGATGAACCATCTGTCAGCACCTATATCAGTAGTGTCTTATGTGATACAAAACACTGCAGATGTTATACATATTACTAACCCTAGACATTGAAAATGAAAAGATAATTTGAAAAAGATTCACATTTATTTACAGGTATGACAATAATGTCATTGATAACAAAGAAGCAGCAATATGATAGCTTATGGTAGCTTCATGTTATTGATATGATTGCTTTATAGAAGCCTAGCCTATAATGAATCACAACATTTTTAGGGCATACAGTATTATAGTCGTATTTATAATACAGTACTGGAAACACTGTTACATTTTTTTAAAAAGCATTTACCTGTGATAATCAGTTGATGCACATTTTCTCCAATGAAGAGAGAGAGGCTTACTGTATAGTAATATAATTTTTAAAAGCAAAGTTATAAATTATGTTAAATATCACTCATGCCTATGTAAGGATAGGCTATCTACTTCCATATGAGCCTTCCACATGATGTTCTACGTGTTGAATACTTAGGTGATGATGACAAAAATGTCATATAGTTTTTGCTGTACACTTACTAGATTTTCAAAGGAAGACATATGCACAGATAAGTTTATTAACTATAAGCACAGTTATTTACTATTCATTAAGTCAAAGCGGATCGTCACAAAGGTCTTCGTCCTTGTCATCTTCACGCTGAATGGGCTGAGGAGGAAGAGGAAGAGTTGGTCTTGCTGTCTCAGGAGTGGGAGAGGTGGAGAGAAGTGCAAGGGCAGGCGGGAGAAGCAGGCACACTTAGCCCAACTTTATGGAAATACATCATAGTTTCTACCTGACTTTTCTGCTCTTTCACTTCTCTCAAAATGTTTCTATATGGTGCCAATCCACCTTCCTTGTTCGCTTTAGTTTCAGTACCGGTATCGTAGAAGGATCCTTGTTACAAAAAAGTCAAAAGCCGTCTTGAATAATCAGCGCCCTTCTGCCCCGTTGTCTGATGTCAGCTTGTTTTCTGGCTGTGCCTCTTCCACGCCTTCCTCCCCGCCTGGCACTGGTCCAGAAGCACTCATCTCCGTCAGGCCACCATCTGTGAATTCCTCCGGTGTGGTATCTGTCAGCTCTAGAATTCCCCCAAGATCAATGTCTTGAAACCCTTTACCCCCCACATTTTTTCTTTTTTGCCATCTGTACAGTCTCATGCCTTTCTTGACTGGCCCTGCCGTAAATCCTGTGCAGTCACGCACAACATCTGGACACAGTTTTGTCTAGCAGGAACTTATTCTTCAGGCTTGATGGTCTCATGGCTTTTTCTGTGACATCCATGGCACTTTCAATAGTGTAATCCTTCCAGATTTTCATGATGTTGCCTTTGTAGGGATCCTCTTCCATACCATTGATAATCCTTTGCATGGAATGCTGTGCATGATGAGCCTTCAAGTCCTTATCACCCCTTGCTCTAGAGGCTGAATTAGAGACATCATGTCGGGGGAAAGTAGACCACTCTGATGCCTTTAGTGTTAACTCACGGGGTCCTGGGTGGCCAGAGTTACTGTTCAGTATCAAAAGAACTTTGAAAAGCAATTCCTTACTGACAAGGTGCTTCCTGACTTCAGGGACAAAGCCTCAATGGGACCAATCCAGAAAAGGGGTTCTTGTTGCCCAGGCCTTTTATACCAAAAGACAGGCAGCTAGTGTTTATGGGTTCCCTCCCAGGCTGAGGACTAGCAGCTTTATAGCCACAGCATTTAGCCATGAACCAGATTGCATTTGTACAAAACGATAGAGTTAACCTCTTCCTGCTTTAAATCCTAGTACTTGCTTCTCTTCCTTATTGATAAATGTCCTTTGTGGCTTTTCCCCCTCAAGAATAGGGCACTTTCATCTGCATTAAAAACATGTTCAGGCAGATATCCTTTCTCCTCGGTGAGTTCCTCAGTGCCATCTGGGAGCTTGTCTGCTGCCTCTGGTTTGGCAGAAGCTACTTCTCCTGTTATCCTGACAATTTTTAAGCCGAACCTCTTCCTAAAATTATCAAGCCATCCTTTGCTGTCATTAAATTCTCCAGCTTTAGAGCCTTCACTATCTTTTTGCTTTTAAGTTGTCATATAATGACTTCTCTTTTTCTGAAACCATGTTAGAGTCCATGGGTATGCCTTTCTTATAGCAATGTTGTACCCACAAAAGCTACATTTTCAGTATGAGATAAAAAGGTATTTTGCAAAAAATGCTGGCTGGCATAGCTAGGGTGATGACTTCACAAGTTTTCTTATTTTACAATTATCCTTACACTGGATCCATTTATCTTTAAATTTTTTTTTAAATTTATTGATATTAGAGAGAGAGAGAGAGAGAATTTTGAATTTTTGTCATTCCATTTATTTATGCATTCATTGGTTGCTTCTGGTATGTGCCCTCACTGGGGATTGAACCTGCAACCTTGGTGTATCTGGACAATGCTGTAACTAACTGAGCTATCTGACCAGGGCTGGATTCATTTACAGTATCTTCTTTAAAATAAATAAAAATAAAATTTTTTTACCAGCAATTTTTAAATTTTTTAATTGCTGGTAAAAAATCTTCAAAAATTCAAATGTTCAAATCTTCAAAAATTTTTCCAGTATAGTGATTGAAAGCAATCCTTGCATAAGTGGACCCGCACAGCACAAACCGTGATGTTCTAGGGGCAGCAGTGTGTGGAACTAACTTTAGGCCAAGTGAAAAACCTCAAACAAACACCAAATACTATGCTCCACATTATTTTATGTCTATGATATTCTAGGGAAAAAAACTATAATGACAGAGAGCAGACTAATAATTGCCTGGGGCCCGGGGAAGGGACCGACTGCACAGGGCACAAGGGAACTTTTTGGATGATGGAAATGTTCTGTATTTTCATTGCGGTGGAGATTACATGACTATATTCAACTGTGAAACTCAATATACTTCTCTTAAAATGGATCATTTTTATACCTTAATAAAGCTGGAGGAAGTTTTGTAGTGCTTAATAAAATGCCAATAGATAAGATATTATCAACATAAGGTTTAGTTGCTAAGCAATATTTCAATGGGTCACCAGCAAAAGGACTTTTAAAGGAAATTTCCAAGAACCCATAATCAGGGAGGAAAAGACTGTGTTTTTCTCCACAGGGTTGGAGCGAGACGGGCTGCCATGGGGGTGGTTGCCCGGGATCTGGGTGCACTGAAGCAGCGCAACACCTGCCTGGGCAGCCGGGGCCTCGCTGCTGTGGCAGCTCTGACTGGTTCATACCTGGAGCTTACCCTTTGCTCAAAACCCCAAACATATTTTTCTGTTGCGAAATTTCTCGTGGCTCCCTATTTTTGACTGCGAATCATTTGCTGCTACACGTGGGATGTTTTCTTCATGAAATACATAGTACCATTGAGTGAAGGAAGTGGTAAAACTGTGATACATCACGGGCATTTTAATTTGCTACTGACTATATGCTTCTGAAATGTAACTGCTTTATTTTATCTTGTAGGAACTGTGGAGTTTATTATGGACTCACAACACAATTTCTACTTCATGGAGATGAATACAAGGCTGCAGGTGGAACATCCTGTTACTGAGATGATCACAGGAACTGACTTGGTGGAGTGGCAGCTTAAGGTGAGAATATTTTTTCTATTAAACATCAGTCTTGAAACCACTTACCTGCTGGTCTCCTAAAAAAAGGTGTCATTTTGGATAAGGGTTCAATTCTTGGTGGTTATGATAAGAACAGGAAAATGGGAGGTTAAATGAAAGTGACACTGCATTGGATGGTATGACATTACTGTCACTTCATGGACACAGATTCCTAATGTATTAATTACCATTATTCCCCATGAGGCATGGGGCAGCCAGCAGGTGAGCTGCTGCCACTGAGGATGGCTTGTGACCACGTAGTACCAGCACCGAAGCCTTTTGCTATACCCCAGGCCACATGTCTCTGAGCCAGGTCATCGCTGGATTATGGAGGCAGGACAGATGCGAGCCCAGAGGAAGTGAGCTGAGACAGAGTTGGGAAGGAAGAGCCTAGGGAATGGTCTCAACCAATAGACTGGTCCATGAGACTCAGATTGTCGCTGCCTGTGGTGGTGTGATGCCTGTGTAGGGGTCTTCAAAGCAGGTCTGGCCTTGCTGTGACGTGCCTGCTGGTTTTACAGAGGTGTAAGGCCACCACTGTTCCTTTATTATAGGTAGCGTGAGAAGCACTGACCTAGACCAGCCAGCGTTCCACAAAGCATTTTATTTCCAATATTATTAATAATAGCTTAGTGAGTTTTTCCCTTTATTGAAAACAATAGATCGTGTCTCAGCCTTCTTTTTTTAAATATAAAGAAAGTGTTTTAAGCCATATGAATAATCTTTTTTTAAAGATTTTATTTATTTAGTTATTTAAGAGAGGGGGAAGGGAGAGAGACAAAGAGCGAGAGAAACTTCGATGTAAAGGAGAAACATCAATCTCTCACCTCTCGTACACGCCTGATGGAGAACCAGACCTGCAGCCCAGGCGTGTGCCCTGCCCGGGAATCAAACCCGGGACCTTTCGCTCTGTGGGGCAGCACCCAACCAACTGAGCCACGCTGGTCAGGGCGAATAGTCTCAATCTCTCTGAGATTCTTGGTTCTTTATATATCCTGAATCTAAATTGCTTTTTTCATGCTGTGATGCTGAAGTCTTGATTGTTTTGATAATTTCTATCTTTTCAGAACTCCTGTGGACAATAATACGATGTTCCTTTTGATATTTCCTTAGGGATGATCGGTGGTTTTAATTGAGCCAAAAGATTCTTCTGGGCCTCTATAACCTTGGGAGCTAATGAAAAGCAGGCACACCAGGCTAGTAAGTGTTAGTGGGTGTCAGGAAAACTGTAGTGGATTTAGAAACTTCTGGAAAGACTGCTTATGTTTCTAGAATGTAAGGAAAAGGAAGGTTTTTTTTTTTCTGAAATAGTAGCCCAAGAGAGTCCTGAATCTTGAAATCATGGAGGATAAAAGGGTCCTAAAGAACATGACGCAGAGTTCATGGTTTGAAACAACGTGCCATAATATCATCAATTCAGTCCATTTTCTTTTTATTCCTTCTTGCCGTGGTTCCTGATTTTTCTTCTTTACATATTTAAAGCAATGAAACCTTTGCTTTTGTTTTACACTTACCTGTTTAGTTCAGTGTTATGCTAGGTTATTTCAGTGTCTTTCCCTGAGATCTTTTGGTATCTCAGCTTGTCATTTTCTCATCTTGGAGAAAAAGTTAAGGGGAGTGTGAAAGCAAGTCCTCCAAATTACACTAGTTAGAGATTTGTATTTACATAATGGCTAAAATTATCATTATAGCAATGATAAACAGTAGTGGTCATCTGTAATCTGATGCCGTGCAATATATATATAAATACAATAAAACTGGAAAACCATTATGTCCCCCTTTCTGAGGAACATAATGTTTTGCTTTACAACTCACTTGCTGATTAAAATTACAAATATGTCTAATGTCACATTTTACCCATAGCTTTCAATATAGTCCTGAACACCAACTAATATTTACTATTAAGAAAAAAAGACTGATTTGAGTGATAATGGTTTACATGAAAACTGAAACTACAGTGCCAGAAAGAAATCTTAGTTTCAATTATAGTGGAAAAAACACTGATTTTTATATTTATAATTGTCGGCAGTTTTCCTGCATTCTCTACTTTAAAACTCTAGAACTCCATTGTAATTCATACTTTCTTTTCAAGCTGCATCTGTTTTTAAATCTTTTTAGCTTTTGCCCAATGCTGAAGGGAGTGAATAAAGTGATCATTTTTATTTGGCCTCATTGTAAAGTCCAAATGTACATTTTACATAGAAAAGGGAGCACCCCCATCTTACTAGTCTCGCAGGTGCTTTAAGGTGGATTTTTTAAAAGAAGTGCGTACTCTTTGATCACTAGATTGCAGCAGGAGAGAAGATTCCTTTGAGCCAGGAAGAAATAACTTTGCAAGGCCATGCGTTTGAAGCTCGGATATATGCAGAAGACCCTCACAATAACTTCATGCCAGGGGCCGGACCACTGGTGCATCTCTCCACACCGCCAGCAGACGTGTCCACTAGGATCGAAACTGGAGTCCGGCAAGGTAAGCCGGAGTAAGACAAAAGGTCTCTTTGAACTTTTAGTGCATTATTATTTTCAGACAGGGTCGATTCCCTGTGTCTCATGGAAATGTCTAGTATGTTTTAAAATAAAGGATTTAATTCATTTCCCAGTAATCTTTATTTTTTCCTTCTAGAATATTTTTTTTAAAGAATGACTAGTAATTTTAACCAATTACTTGGTCAAACCTAAGCAACAAATACTTTGTGTGCATTGTTTTATATTTTTACTTTGCCTGGTTCCCAAAATGATTTAAGGTGACCAGTATTCACTGTGCTTAAGGTACTCTGCCTTCAAGTCAAGCTGGAGAATTAATATATAAACAGCATAAGCTAAACAATAATAAAAGAAATTTAAAAGTAAGATGATAGCAGTACCAGAGCTATCGCAGTTCAGCATGTGATTAATAACAATGGTCGTAACTAGCAGTTATTTAGCACTTACGTGCAGGTGCTGTTCTAGGTGACCTTTCTTTCTATAAAGCCTCCTTTAACCAGAACTACCCTGTGAGTAGGCATTTCTATTACCCCCATTTTCTAGACGAGGGAACCAGGACACAGAGAAGGTAAGTGATGCCCAAGATCGCCCTTGCAGCCGAGACTCAGCCCCCAGCAGTCTGGCTCCAGAGTCCGCGCCCTGGGCCTCCACTGCCTGTTGCCACCTTGACTTTGGCTGTAGAGAAGTTGTGGCAGTTCTCAGGGCTGGGACATGATGTTAGGCACTGTTCTGAAGAGGGCATCTAGAGTGGATTGGGGTAGGCAGATTTAACAGCATAAAGAAAAGCAAAGAAAAGAGAACTGAACTAAGGTATGTTTGGAGAACTGCAACCAAACGCGTGTCTGGGAAAATGGTTCAGGGCAGAAGGTAGTCGGAGGTGTGGCTGGGGCAGGCGCAGGCTGAGAGCAAAGCATATAGGGTCTTAGAAGCCACAGTGAGGAGGACTTCGGGCTCCTTGATGATAAATTTGCCACATTCTGGTAGCTCTTGGCTAAACTGCAGCAAGATCTGGTAGTAAATTTTTACCTTAACAGCAGAACATCTTGGAAAGAAAAGAGGACCCTTGCAACAGAAAAGAAAACCCTGTATGGCAAGCAGAGTTTGCTGCATTAATTTAATAAAGGCACTTATAGGATAACAGGTGTAACTCTGAGAAGGACTCCCAGGTTCACATCTTTAAAGATTTTTATTTATTTTATTTTTAGAGAGAGGGGAAGGGAGAAGAAAGAGGGAGAGAAACATTGATGTGTGAGAGAAACATCAATCAGTTGCCTCTTGCACAAGCTCCATCCAGGGACCAACCCGCAATCCAGGCATGTGCCCTGACCAGGAATTGAACCGGAGACCTTTTGTTGTGTGGGACAAAGCTCACCCAAGCTGAGCCACACTGGTCAGGGCCAGGTTCTCGTCTTGACACAGGGAGTCAAGTCCGAGTCAGTCTAGTCCAAGAAGTGTCTCCCAACACTCCAGTGTTCCCTGAGCCCCTTGTGCATCCCTCTGACATCACCCTCATGATATTATCTTACAGTACTCTATTCCTCATCTAGTTTCTCCATCAGATTGTAAGGTTCTTAAGGGAGGGACCGTCTTCTGTGTTATATTTGTAGCACTTTGCTCAAGCCTAGGCCTAGAAAATGTTCAGTATGTTAGTGGGTGGGCGTATGGGTAAATTTATAAGGGAGTGTAATCCCACCGCTTGGTTTTGCATATGAAGGCCCTGGGTTTCAGAGGGCTCAGGTGACCTGCCAGGATCACAACAAGGCTCTAGAACAGGAGGTTTTATCATGTACCTTTTGCCCTGAACTGTTTTCTAACCAGCGATTCAGATTCTTGTTCTCTAACTGTAATAGTAATGATGGCTGCTATTTGTTTATCAGCTCAGCCAGGTATGGCGCTTGGCACTTTATTGTCAATCCTCCCAACGACTACAGGACAGAGGAATCATTGTCCTTATTTATCTGATGAAGACAATCGGGAGGAGGGAAGGGTGTGCCAAGGGCAGAGAGGCTGTGATGTGAGAGTTAGAGGGGCTCTGCCCTGACTTCCATGGAGAAGGGAGGATGGGGAACCAGCCTGGGAGTCACTGAATCAGTTTTGGGTCCTGCTGCTCTTGGGTGGCCACACCCCCCTTAGACATTTGCTAAGTTTTTAAATCCCTCTGAGCTTCGGTTCCTCATGAATGAGATGGTGGTTAACAATGCCCGTCCTGCAGTGGTTTGTGAGAGTTGAGGGTGAAATGTACATAAAGCCCCAGCAGAACGGCTTGCTTGTCATGCTCTGTCCCTTTGGTTCTGACTTGGAGTGGTTTTTGTGGTTTTTCGATTTCAGGAGATGAAGTGTCAGTGCACTATGACCCCATGATTGCGAAGCTGGTCGTGTGGGCTGCAGACCGCCAGGCGGCGCTGACAAAACTGAGGTACAGCCTTCGTCAGTACCACGTGAGTGACCTGGGGCCGCGCTGGTGGCCCCGATCCTTCCTGCGTCTCTGTAGCCGAGTGTGTCTGTCACAACTGGTCATCCCTTCTCCTTGTCAACTTATTTCCACCAAGTACCTGTAATATCACTAACGAAATAATTTTACCTGGGAGAATTTCCCAGGGGTTTGAGGACTTTTCAGTTTCAGCCAGAAAAGAAAGCTTGCAGGGCTGAACCTGTTAGTGTCAGTGTTGTACTTCAGTGAAATCCGACAGGAAGGTCCTCTTCCTCCTGTAAATAAGGCGAGCGACCCAAGTGTGGCCTACTGTCTGGTGTTACTTTATTTTGCTGTATATAATGTGCACTTTTTTGCCCAGATTTTTTGAGGGAAAAAGAAGGATGTGCATTATATGTGGGTATAATGATTACATACCATGGGTATAATAACCCCGTGTATGATACGCACAAAATGTGGATGCGCATTATACATGGCAAAATATGGTATTCTCTTCAAAGGAAAATAATTTTGTTTAGCACCATCAGTTCGATAGTTTGGCACTTTCCCACAGCACATTAATTTTCTTGGTGCAGAAAGACCCATGCCAGCTGATTTACCTTCATGGAAGGATTTCTTATCACCCCATGATGTTCTGATTGTTCTATGTCATTGCTTTGATAGAACCTCTGATCTCTGTGCTTCCACCCGCACTGGCCTCCTTGCCATTCCTCAGATGCATGGCATGGAGCCTGGGTTCCCATTTTCTCCTCCAGGGTGTTCTTCCCCAGGTGATCGCAGGACTCTCTTCTCCCCCCTCCACCCCAGCTGCTGCTCACCTCCTCAGAGTCCTTACAAGGCTGCCCCATTTAAAAGTGGCCCTTTGCTGTTCTCTGTGCCCTGAGCCAGATTGATTTTTCTTCACACCTGACACTGTATTAGAATTTTGTTTATAGACATTGTTTATTTTCTTTCTCTACAATGTAAGCTCTGTGAGGGTAAGGACTTTGTGTGTTTTGTTCTTCACTGTGTTCCCCAGTATCTCGATCAGGGTTTGGCACCTGAAAGGTGCTCAGTAAATGGCAAAGGAATGAGTGATTGAATAAATGAGTGAATGAGCTGTGGCTGGTGTGGCTCAGTGGATAGAGTGCTGGCCTGTGAACCAAAGGGTTGCTGGTTTGATTACCAGTCAGAGCATGTGCCTGCTGGGTTGTGGGCCAGGTCCCCATTTAGGAGTATATGAGAGGCAACCACCCATGGTGTTTTTCTCCGTCTCTTTCTCCCTCCCTTCCCCTCTCTCTAAAAATAAATAAATAAAATCTTTTTTAAAAATTTAAATGAGTGAATGAATGAACAAATGAATGAATAAACTTGAGTCTGACATAGCTGCTTTTACCCGTGATTTCATTTATTAGGTTAAGTTTTATACCTTTTGTATTTTTATATCAGTGTGTAAAATCCAAATTTTAGTTTTGAAAGGAAGGTCTTTCAAGGTCATTTAATCCTGTCCCATCTCAGTGTAGTAATCCTGACCTCTGTTTTGGGAGTGTTCTGAGTGGCGGGTCTTCAAAATTTTGCATGTAAATCTCATTTAAGTTTCTTAACATTTATCACTTTCCTAACCTGAGTCAATTAAATGTCTTCCCACACTGCCTAAACCAACAGCATTGCCTGCGGTCTCTTTATCTCTTTATCACAGCAGAATGTAGTTTTCAGTGTTAAGTCCAGATATGTAGTAATGGTGAAGTGGGTTTGTTTTTTTTTTTAATTTGTTTTATTTTCCTGAGAGTTGTCCATGGTAGACAATACTTAGCAAAGGGGCAGAAGCCATACAGATGTTTTCCTGAATGATTCCCCACTCATTGGGGACATGGCTCTGTTCCCTTTCCAGATTGTCGGGCTGCACACCAACATCGACTTCCTCCTCAGCCTGTCCGGCCACCCAGAGTTTGAGGCTGGGAACGTGCACACTGACTTCATCCCTCAACACCGAGACCAGCTGTTGCCCAGTCAGAAGGCTGCAGCCAAAGAGTTTTTATGCCAGGCAGCTCTGGGCCTCATCCTCAGGGAGAAAGCACTGTCCGATGCTTTCAAAATCCAGTCACAAGGTACAGAATGCATGTCTGTTTCCTCTGCTTGTCGAGATTTTATGAATCATTATTGAACATGCTTTTCTTTCTTTATGCCACACTCACCTCCCTTTCCTTCTCTCGGCGTGTGACACCATCCTCTGCTAATGTACTTTTTAGGATGAAGTAGAGCTCTTCACATATTCTGGATGCACCCCATAAATGATTTGCAACCCTTTAAATATAACTTAGCTAATCACCTAACAATGCAGAGACGCGTCTCTTTTCATCCAAACACTAGTTCTCGCCGCAGCCCATGCTGATCCCTTCCAGTCTCGTCTACACACTGCTTCTATCCACTGCTCCTTGTGGCTGACTCACAGCCTGTGCACCTGCAGCAACTCCCGGGTCCTGGAGGCTGAAGGCACGGCACTGGAGACTCTCAGATTCCTTTAGGTTACCTGTGATTTATTGTTCAGTTATTTCCTCCTTTCTTTTTCCATTCTGTGATCAAATTTCTTACAACTGAAGACCTAGGTACTTCATCGTGTCACAGAACCTCAGCATGGGAAAGACTATGACAGAGTCACCCTGACCGCCACATGGCATGTCCCTGCGTCCGCATCCCCACCAAGTCGTCACCCAACTTCCTAATGCCTCCCGAAGCTGGAATTCATGATGAGAATTCATTAGCTTATTACATTTTCAGTCAGTTCTCCTTTAAAAAGTTCTTGCCTCGAAGCTGAGCAAAATCTGAGCTCTCACAGACTTGCTCCATAATGTTTGCTTAAGGTAACTCTGACCTTTGGAGCAAATAGGGGGAAAAAATGAATCTATCTCTTTAACATTGTTAGGATTAATATATTATTATAAGATCCTATAGATTAGGATCATTAACTTCTAGATTCATTCAAGAAAGTTACATTGAAAGCTTAAAATATATATAGTTACATCTTTAGATGTGTGTCCTATCCTCATTTTGTCCTGTTACTACATTAAAGGAAATGCATCTGCATCTAAATGTGCCCCTGATGTTGATCCTAAGCCTGTAGCATTTGTAAACTGGAGTGTCTTCTTGCTCTCACCTTTTAAAAAAAATATATAGCCAGCACAGATATGAACTTCAGGATAAACCACTTCGATTTAGCTGTGTTGTAGCTTCTGGATCTTGTCCGACGGAGGGTGCGCACTCAGACCTCCCGAGGCGGCACCGGCCGCGTGGGGGAACAGCGGAGGCCAGGCGGGAGGGCGCTAGTGAGTGGCGGAGATCCAGGCGACCTGGATGCAGCAGCCCGTCAAAAGGGGTGTCCACTGCTCAGCTTATGCCCCCAGAGGGTGACAGTTTAGGCTGCAAAGATTCTCATCTTTTAAGAAAAGTTGGGCGCTGGCTGGCGTAGCTTAGTGGATTGAGCGCGGGCTGCGAACCAAAGCATCGCAGGTTTGATTCCCAGTCAGGGCACATGCCTGGGTTGCAGGCTACGGCCCCCAGCAACCGCACATTGATGTTTCTCTCTCTCTCTCTCTTTCTGTCTCCCTTCCCTCTCTAAAAATAAATAAATAAAATCTTAAAAAAACAAACTTAAAAAAAAGAAAAAGAAAAGTTGGGATTTTTCATATGAAATTTCCTGAGATGTAAATCAAAATATCTAATTTAAATGTAAAGCAATGAGGGGAGCAAAGGAAACATATTTGAGCTGTCAGCATAGGAACTGTGTTTTCTGTTTCCTTTTGCAAGGCATAAATTTAGTAGGCTTGATGTTCATGAATTTATTGTTGAATTTTTTTCTAGATCAATATTCTCCCTTTGCATCCAGCAGTGGAAGAAGACTGAATATCTCTTACACCAGAAACCTGACTCTTAAGGATGGTGGAAACAGTAAGTAATGTTTTATTAGAAGAGAAATGTGCCGCACAGAAGTATATCACAAATACCTGGGAAAATGGATTCAGCCGGGCCACATTCAGTCAGTTACATATTTTTTAGGATCCCTGACCTAAACATTGGAAGGAGGTATGCCTGAATGATAGAATTGATTGGCTCTAGGTGGTACAGTTAATGATTTTTATTCTTCTTCATTATACCTTTTCTATATTTTGTAAATATTCTAAAAATAGGTCATAAAATTTACATAACAAAATGACTGAAATGAAATTTTCCAAAATTTTAGTGAGGACACCATTGGGTGGAAAGATTTTTTTTTTTAAGAGAGAGAAGGTGGGAGGGAGAGACAGACAGACAGACATCAGTGTGAGAGAGACACATAGACTGGTTGCCTCTGAAACCACCCCAACCGAAGATTGAACTCTCAGCCTAGGCATGTGCCCTGGACTGGAATTAAACCAACGACCTTTTGGTGCTAAGAACGATGCTGCAACCAGATGAGCCATGTGGCCCAGGTTGGTGGTGGGATTTGAGGCAATCTTTTTTCCCTTGCTTCTTTGTACTTTCTGTACTTTCTTTGTTTTGCCATTTTTCTTCAGTAAGAATGTATAATATTACTTCTATTTTTTAATTTCTTTTTTCCCTTCCTTCCCTTCCTGAGGATGTATTATGTTTTTGGGTTTTTTTTATTGACTTTGAGAAAGACAGAGAGAGAGAAACATTGATTTGTTGTTCCACTCATACATGCATTCTTGGTTGATTCTTGTATGAGCCCTGACCAGGGATCAAACCCGAAGCCTTGGTGTATAGGGACAATGCTGTAACTAAGTGCACTACCCGGTCGGGGCTGTATTACTTTTAAATAAGAAAAACAATGTCCAAAGCTACTGCAGGGAGGGAAGATTACCCACTACTCAGGCAGTGTTTCAGGTGGAAGTGGGTTACTAAAGAGCTGTAATTTATTAAGCGCCTTATCACCTGTAATTTTTATCTTCACAACTTGATAAGAGGAGTCACCGTTACACCCATGTGTGACTGATGGAACAGGCACAGCAGGTGCAGTAACTTACGACTACGAAGTGGCAGAGCCGTGATTGACACCTCATCTTTCTGACCCTGATTCCTCTGCTATTCCCACCACTTTCCCAGTGGCAAGTTGATTTTTTATTGCAGGCTAATTTGAGGAGGCTCAGGGTATGGGCTGATTTATTATAAGTGGAGAGGCTGATACCTAAGGCATAGGAATTTATAAACTTTTGGCTGGACCAGTGAACCAGAGGGACCAGAATCATGTGAGCGCTGGTGGCTGTCTCCCTCTGCTACAGTACAGTTTGCATGGGAAGCCAGAGGGGTGCAGAGTCAGAGCTGGGAGGCCCGGGTAACCCTGAAGCTGAGGTATCAGTGAACTGTGACAGCTTCATTATAAAAACATGCCTACCACGTAGAGCAGAGTCTTCCTGCCAGCTCATCACAGGACCTTCCTCTTTACCTCGATTCTGTGTGGGCGTTCACTCACTTCTCAACAAATTCTTTGTTCACAGAAGTCAGTTGGGTTACAGCTCTTTAGATACCTTGTCATCCTGAGCCTAGATGGTCATTCCCTTAAGTGCACTGACTACTTGGAAGGAAAGTTTGCGAGCATCTCTTGTAGCGGTAGCATTCTGCAAACAGTTTATCTATCCATTTTATGTTGGTGTATTTATTCATTTTATCCTTAAAAAAAACCAACCTCCAAAATGCAAAAGTATCTTACTGTAGATTAAATATGCTGAATACTTAGCAGATACCAGCAGAAATAAAATTTTAGTGGCCTCTTCAACCTAAATTAAACAGAAGAACAGCCTGTGTGACTATAATTCAGATGAGCTGACTATATCATTTGGCGTGGATCTTCACTAAGGTGCCAAGCAGTGTTTTGAATTATGTTGCATTTCTTGGGATTTTTTTTAATTTAAAAAATAAATATACAATTGAAAAGCCAACATGATCACTGTTTACTACTTCCTCTTGGCAGTATTTTTCGACAATAACCCAGGTCAGAATGCAACAGCTTTCAGAAATGCTGTACTAATCAGCAGTCTGCGGTCGAGTAAGAGAGTGCCCCAAACAAGAACCCTCAGGGTCCAGAAGCATTCATGAATCTCAAGTCAAACCAGCTCTTAATGATCTCAGGGAGAGCGACCAAGTGCTTTAAAAAGTCAAGACTTGAAAGATGCTCTCTATGTTACTAGTGGCCATGTCTCACAGAACCCTGTCCTGCCCTCAATAATAATGTAGTAGCCGAGATTTATTGTTTGGTATATGTCAGATATCGTAGTAAGTGCTTTCCATGAATTATTTCCTTTGCATTTTCACAACACGCCGATGAAATTCGTGTTGTTATTGGTGTCAACTTTATAAAACCTTTATAAAAGGCTTAGCAAGAATTATAATTTCTTTAAAATCACACAAAAGTAACTGGTAGAGCCAGAATTTGAACTCACACTTTAGGGTACATGTGCTTACCTAACACTGCATCATGCTAAACTTTCAAACCTTGTTAAATCTATAAGAAAATGCTCAAGATTCTATTGTGGGGGTCAGGAGCTATCTAGGGGAAGGAGGAACAAGTTGGGTTACCCTATAACATATAAAAGAATTTAGACCTTTTCTGGCAGTGTCTTTACTATGATTCTATTGGCATTTATGTCACTTAAATTCTTTTCATATTTCGTAAATTGAAAGAAAACTGACCTGGGGTAATTGGATGTATTTTCTCTTAAAATGGGTTAAACATATTGATAAGATAGATTGTGGAGAAGTTTTGTTCATTTATACATTCAATACAATGTCCTTGAAGAAATAGATATTCTCAATAATGTGAAGAAGAGAATAAAGATGTCTTTGTCCCTGTATTTTACTCTTAAGGAGTTTACCACTTGGCAAAGGAGGAGCATGTTTGTTGGGAAGATGGATGACATAGTGGTTAATAACACAGGCCCTGGACTCAGACGGCATGGGTTTGAATTCTGGCCCCCATGTGTTCTGTGGCTCTTGAGTGAGTCACATATTCTGTGTAAGCATCAGGTGTCCTCAGCTGTACACGGGCATGGTCGTGGTCATTGCTTCCTTGTGTTGTTGCAGCTATTAAATGAAACAACACATGCAGAGCACTTAGCTCATTGAATGGCATACAGCAAGCAGTGAACAGACATTAGCTATCCCCTTGCTACTATTGAAAGAACAAGTAGATATGTATGTTGCATGTTAATTACAATAATGTTGGTTGCAGAACAACGTGTATAACAATGTCCTACTTTTATAAAAGGAAAATACAAACTCAAATATGTATTTTGAAAGGTCTGAAAGGATTCACATATTCAAGTGTTGAACAATACTTATATCTGGGCAACAGAGAGGATGTTCAGGCCTTGTAAACATCTTTATTTTTGCAATTTAAAAAAAAACAACTGATAAGGAGAAAAAACACTCTATAGTACACTGGATGAGTGGAGAATCCAAATGGTATTTAAATGCAGAAGTCGAAATGTATGAAGGAGAGAGGATTCATTCCACCCAGACAGGCTCTTACCCAGTGAGCATGATGTGAGCAAGGGGTGAGGTTTCAGCTGGAGGGGCCTGAGCAAAGAGGCACAGTGAGGGGAAGAGTGGAGGCACATATGGAGAATATTAATGGGCCCGTTTTCCTATTTGGTTGGACACAGGGCTATGTGATGAGAATGGTGGGAAATAAGTCAGAGTTTGGTACTTTCAATACAAAACCAAGTACCGGTACTTTGAATGGGATAGGCAGGTTCTAGGAAGCATCCACTGGAAGGGTTGGCACAGGCTACAGGAAGCCCTGGCAGGACCTCCTCAGAGCTGGCCAGGCCTGAGGCCGTCTGTCTGCACCAGGGTAGGGCAGTGGAAAGGAAGAAATGAGTAGGACAGGTATTCAAAGGGAAGAATTTGGTGGCTGTGTGGTGGCTCTTGGAGGTGGAAATCAAAGGAGATGGTGAGAATGACAGGTTTTAGACCTAGATCACAAGGCAAGTAACCTGGCCAGTCGTGGAGCCGACAGGTCGGGAGGGAAAGCAGGCGGAGGCGGGAGATGCTTTGTTGGACCCACTGTGTGGATGGAACATCTAGCTGAGAATGACTAATCAGAGTTCTGGAGAAGGAAGGTCAGGGCTGGGAACAGATTTGAGCTGGCGGCACCAAAACGATGGGTGAAGTGTCAGCACGGGATGAAACGACTTTGGTCTGCATTCTCTACCGCCCAGGATTTTGATTTCCATCTCCCAGGATCGTCTTCAACCAATTCTATAGTCACATAAGAATATGAATACATTGAATGTGATATTTGTATAAGTCTGTTGCAGTTTATAAAGTACTTTCACATTGATGTACTATTGCTGCCTCTCATATCCATTTAATGGGTTGAATGGATCAGAAAATCAAGAGTCAGAGATTTTAAATGACCTAGTCAGGATCACAGAGGTAATCATGCCACACAGGTGGCAGATTGGGGTCTTAAACCAGAGCTTCTTTTTCCCAACTAACTGCATTTTCTATGTCACACTGCAGCCTTTCTTATAGAGGGAAAAATATCTGAAGTAGCCTACAACCTTAAAAAGTTAAAACTCCATTTCTGAAAAAGTTTGAAATTTACCTTTATTGAAACCTGCCTAATAGGTTTTTTTTTTTTTATCTTTATTGCCAGGGAGTTAAGAGATATTGATGTTACTGATAGTTACCTTTAGGTTGAAAGTCAGATTTTTGAAATCTCAGTTACTGAATAAATGAAGGTCTTCTAATTTTGTTTAATTATTTTTCCCCAAAGATGTAGCCATAGCTGTAACGTATAACCACGATGGGTCATACAGCATGCAGGTAAGCCTTGCTGGTTTTTGTCTGCTGTTCACAGCTGAATCTGATCTCTCTCAGACTGAGTGTTGTTGCCTTTCACACTCCCAGTTTCTCTTGAGCCATTGAATATTACATCTGTAGTCAGGAAAATGTCATGTGCTTTTATTTCAGACCGACTTGGGGAAATGACCGCCTGTACAATTTCTGATTGTTTACTCAGTTTGGATGTGATTCCAAACTTGGCAAAAAATAATGGCTTCGAGTCAGACACCCGTCAGGCCCCTAGAGTGTGTGGACATATTCGTGTGTGAAGCAGCAGTTCTCAAACTTTTTAGTCTCAGGACCACCCCACGTTCTTAAAACATCACTAATGCTCCCTAAAGAGCTTTTGTTTGTACTCATTACATCTATTATTTTAGTGTATTTTTTTAATATAAGTAACACAATTTACCATTTTAACCACTTTTAAGTGTACAGTTTAGTGGCATTACATTCACATTGTCGTGCTGCCAGCGCCACCATCCGCCCACAGAACTTTGCTCCTCTTGGGAAACTGAAATGCAATACCCATCAAACGAGAGCACCACACTCCTCCCTCCCCCCAGCCGCTGGCAGCCACCACCCTACTTTGTGTCTCTATGAATTTGACTGCTAGGAACCTCATATAAGTGAAATCATTCAGCATTTGTCTTTTTGTGACTGGCTTATTTCACTTAGCATAATGTCTTTAACGTTCCTCCATGTTATATCATGTGTCCAAATTTCCTTCCTTTTTAGGGCTGAATAACATTTTACTGAATGTACATACCACACTTTATCTATTCATTTATCTGTTGATGGATACTTGGACTGCATCCATTTATTTGCTGTTGCAAATAATGCTATGAACATAGGTGGACAAGTATCTCTTTGAGAGCCTGTTTTCAATTCTTTCGGGCATATATCCAGAAGCAAAATTGCCAAATCATAAATATGTTTTTAATTTTTTTTAATCCTCATCTAAGTATATGTTGATTTTAGAGAGAGAGAAAGAGGATGGGGGGAGAGAGAGAAACATCAATATGTGAGAGAAACATCAATCAGCTACCGCCCCTACAACCCCCAAACAGGGATCAAACCCACAACTTAGGTTATGTGCCCTGTCCAAGATTGAACCTGCAACCTTTTAGTGCACAGGACTATGCTCCAAGCAAGGGAGCCATCTGGCCAGGGCTATTTTTAATTTTTTGAGGAATTACCATACTGTTTTCCATAGTGGCTGCATGATTTAACATTCCCAACAACAGTGCACAAAGGTTCCAATTTCTCCACATCCTTGCCAACATTTATTTTGGTTTTTTTTTCTTCTTTGTTATAAAAGCCATCCTAATGGCTGTGAAGTAGTATTTCATTATGGTTTTGATTTGCATTTCCCTGATGGCTAATGATGTTGAGCTAATTGGCTATTTGTATATCTTCCTTGGAGAAATGTCTATTCAAGTCCTTTGCTCGTGTTTTAAAAAATTGGATTGGCTTTTTTGTTGTTGGGTTGTAGGATAAATTGAGACGAGTTTAAACCTGAGATTACACAAGCACACATTCCATTGCTGCCAGAAAGTGATAACATTATCACATGTCCTGTGGTCTCTAGGAAACTCTACTGTGTACTTGTGAGGGAATGTGGGTTAAAAAGAACATACAACGTTAGTATTATCATGAAATAGTTTGATTTTGTGGACTCCCTGAAAGGACCTCAGTGGATCCACAGGTCATCCTTGGGAGAATCTTCAGTCAAAAATTTTGTGCTAGCCCCCAATTGAAAGAAATCCATTTTACTGGCAAAGTAGAATGCTGAAAGGGTAAAAAAACAATGTGCAAACTCAACTAAATTCCTATAGTAAGGTACAAATTCAGAGAACAGAATAAATCATTTTTAATAAGAGCTAAGAGACTTCAAATCCTGCAAAAATGGATTTATCGATGATAAGCTTTAGATTGCCCAGTACTCTGAGACACATTGGTTTTCTTTCTCTGAGATTCAGAAAAATTATGGGAAGTCTCTCTCCTTTAGTATATGAGAGTTATTGGTACCTCTGGTTTGTTTGTTTTTCCTTTTTTTTTAATTTTTCAATTATGGTTGACATACAATACTATATGAGTTTTAGGTGTCCAACATAGTGATTAGACATCTGTATAACTTACAAGGTGATCACCCTAGTGAGCCCAGTGCCCGCCTGGCACCACACACAGTCATTACAGTGTTACTGACTACCTTCCCTGTGACTCTCCATTCCCTTTTAAAAGTAACGTCAGTGACCTCCAGCTATCTGGGGGGACTTTGTGTCATTCATTATACCAAAACTCATTACTTTATAAGCATTTAAAATGTTAAGTAATAAATTCACATAACATTGGTTTGGGGACCCTTTTTGTCCCTTGACAAATGGTACATTGGCAGGTTTGTGGTAACCCCCTCATGGAACTACACACGCAAACTTAGGATGTGCCATTGGAAACCTTTAACCAAACTGTTCCCAATCTAAACTTTATGTCCTGGGAATTTCACAGCCTTTCAAAGGGCTGTTTGAATAGGTTCCAAAGCAGAGTAAAATGTCTTATTTAATTTAGGATAGATGAAAGCAATGTACGAATACCTGCAGTATAATCTGTTTTATCTTAGCCTATGTAACATACTTGAAAAGAATGGCCACAGGACTCTGACACTAACAGTATAGGAATTGAGATGAAAAATAGAGAAGATTTAAATTGATTTTCTGTGTATAAGGGAAATTTTGTTTGAGTGTATACATAAGCAAACATTCTTTAAGACAGAAAGGTTTCACGTCCTTTTGCTAGCTGTCTTGGAAGATTAAGTGTGAAGTCTGTTCTTTGGCACTCTCTCTCAGAGTGAGGACATTGTGGTCAATCTCCAGCTAATGTGTCTTCTTAAATCATAACTGAAACCATAAGTTGGACCTGTATGCTGGTGAGATAAAAGAAATACCATCCAATTATGTGGTTCTGGCTCTTTTCGTTACTGACTTGGGCACAGTAAAACTAAGCTTGACTTTGGCTACTCAGAAATGAATACAAATGTGTAATATATACTCGACTAAATGCTAATAATTTTGCTTAATTTGATTTGTCCATATTACATTTATTACTATTCACACGTGAACTTTTATAGCATCATGAGTGCAATGAATATGTTATATAACTGTTTTTCTTTGAATCATCTTACTACTGCTTCTGTCTAGAGTATTTTGTTTATGAATCGTAGGGGGAAAGTTTCTATATGACTTCTTTAAAAAACATTTTACCTGTTAACTTTTGAAACTATTATAATAAAGAACTAACTCTGATTTTATTAATTATGAAAGTTGTTCATTTATTTAAGGATCTTTTCTGTTTTTTCTTTTTTGAGATCGAAGATAAAACTTTCCAAGTCCTCGGTGACCTTCTTAGTGAGGGAGACTGCACTTACCTGAGATGTTCTATTAATGGAGTTACTAGTAAAACTAAGCTCATTTTCCTGGAAAACACAATTTACCTATTTTCTATGGTAAGGTCTCTTCTTGTAATAACACTGTTGGGGATTGGGGGTTGGGAGAAAATTACTTGACCAGAAGCAAAAAGACTAGAAAGATCCATCGCCTTCAGTCACTGCTATGACTTTTCTGTGTTTCCCTCTCTGTGTCTTTGCCTCAGTCCTGCCTTCTTCTGTTCTTTTGTTCATGTGGATTCTCATGGATAGATACTTACCCATTTTGTTCCTTTAATTCTGAAACATGTTCTGACACCCTTCTCATCAAAGAGTATTTCCCTGCTCAGTGGGACTGTGCTCTCAGGGATTTGGTGCCTTCACAGTTACCCCAACCACCGTCCCCCTGGTACTGGAATCGTGGGGATTTGGGAGGAGGTGACCACTGGGAGAGGAGTCTGGACTAGGTGTCCCTTGTGTGCAGAGTGTGAGGGAAGAAGAGGGGTGCGTTAGTGGTGTTCTCCTGGCAGATTGCAGAGACAGGCTTTGCGTGGAATGGTTGGGAGTTCGTCAAAGGCCTTAATGTTCTACATGGGCAGAAGAAAGAGAATGGATTATCAAATATACTGAAGCCTTTTCAGAATCTTGGTACATTTGGGAACCATCTTACAGATCCCAGTCCTTAGGGATGAGATGCCCATAGTATTCAGGTAACTAGACTACCATGGGTCGAGTCCAGGATGATCTCACTTTACCAGGCATTCCTTTCCACAGTCAGTGTGCTGGAACCACATGCTGGTCGAGCCAGTGTGAGGAGTGGTGAAGAGCATAAGTTCTGGAATACAAAGCTGCTTTGATTCAAATTCTGGTCTTACCACTGAGCAGCTGTGTGACCTTGGGCAAGTTAAACTCTCTGGGCCTCAGTTCCCCCTATCTATAAACAGGAATAATAATAACACCTGCCTCCTGGGGTTATTGTGACAATTAATGACTTTCTATATAATATATATGTATTTATAAGCTGTATAATGTATGAATATGTATTTATACTCCTATTACCAGTTCCTGACTTAGACTAAGCACTTGACAGTGGAGGTGCTACTAAAAATGGCTTCCAGGCAGTGGCTCTCTTGTACCAACAGTTATATAAATTAATTTCTTTAATTCCCTTGGAGGCACATCTGCCATTCCTCCTGTGTAGCAGGAAACCTAAATGAGAGGGGTTTAGTAATTCGCTCAAGGTCACAAAGCTAGATTAGAACCCTGCTATTAAAGATGACTAACATATGACAGACAGCTTGGAAACAATCATTACCTCAGTCTATTAGGAAAGTTACAAGAACGAGATCTTGATTTTGTTTCTGGTGTGCACAGGAAGGAGCTATTCAGTTCGGCATCCCAGTCCCCAAACACTTGTCGTCAGTGAGCTCGGAAGGGACTCAGGGAGGCACCTTAGCTCCCATGGCTGGCACCATCGAGAAGGTAACCGAGCAATGTGTGCGGGATGATGTCCACTAAGGCCCGATAAATGTCTTTGTTGAGCTTTGCCATATGTGTTCTTTCTCTCTCTCTAAATCTGGTTCATTGGAAAGCATTCATTTCAAGAAACCAAGAGACTCTATGATAGATTCAAGGTCTATATTATAGTCTTCAGTGAAAATACCCATTTACTTAATTTATGATAAACACTGTTATTTTTTAAATTGGGGATTTCCATAAAAGTACAAATAATTTAAGTTGTCTTTTTATAATTAAAATAGAATATTCACCAAGCATTATCCAAAAGGGCTGTTTTTTAGTGTTATGTTTAACAGCAAACAATTTATCATGAAATAATGACATTTCCTCTGACGCACGTAATCCCATCAGTGATAGACTCTGAAAGGCTGGTGTTGGTGAAGGACGGCATGGCTTGATGCTGAGTGCGGTCTGTATTCAGAGTTGACATCCCTACTACTGACATACCCTCCCGTGGTAATAGAGCAGCCTCCTTTATAAACTTGCATACAGTAGAGTTCCCTCAAATGCACTCAAGTCATAAAAATTCAACTGTATATTCTTGGAATTCCCCCCCTTCAAAAAAGAAAAAAGAAGAAAACTATTTAAATAGTTTGAGCAATTACACCAACCATTCCCCGCAGAAATGTCTGCCTGAGAGGAGGTACGAGCTGGGAGACTTGGATCTGCCTCTCACTCACTCACTCACTCTCAGTCCCCACAGGCTTCCCGTGAGGTGGGCATTTCTGTGTAGCATGAGCAGCAGGGGCTTATGTTTGATTAAAGACGCATGTTTTCCCTAGAACTGGCCCTAAACCCAGACCACTGATTTTATCCCATACGAAAGTGTCACCCAGCATTGAGTCACTTGGGGGACTTTCAAGGCTGTTTCTCATTTTTCACAATTTTGGTTCTGCACATCGACTTTAGAGCCTAACTCTACTGTGTGATGTTTCCAGATGTTCCTTGATAAATAACTGTGTTAACCAAAGCAAAAAACAAACAAACAAAAAAACAGTGGGACCACATGGGATATATGAGTTCATTTATACATGTGAAAAGGGAAATAGAGCTATTTCCCTGGGGTTGCCAGTAACTATAATGGTTTCACATGAAGATTGTCTATACATTTATTACACTGGGACATGAGGACTTGAAACCCTGTCCTGGACAACCTAGAAACTAGGGAAGCAGGCCAGGCCCTCTGCTCTGACTATGGTAAAGGCATCTAAGTATAGTTCTTCCTTGGTGGCGCTATGTCTTGTCTGTACATTCATGAAAAAACAAAAGGGTCTCAAGATATATAAGACCTAGTCATCTGATTCCAGGAAAACTAGATCGCTTGGGGAGGGGGTGGGGAGCCAAGTGGTGCCTGCTGCTGACCACGGTGCCAGCAATGCCAGGCTGACCGGAAGGTCTCTGATTTGTGCATTGGTGTCTTTGGCAGACAGGACAACCACAGACTCATACTTCTGATTTGTACATTTGTATATCAGCTCTGTGGACCACAAAGGGCCCCTGCACTTTCAAGTATTAACCTGTCACTCTGCATCTCTAGGTGTTTGTAAAAGCCGGAGACAAAGTAAAAGCCAGAGATTCTCTAATGGTTATGATTGCCATGAAAATGGAGGTAAGTGCAGTGTGAGTTCAGTCACCACGTTAACTTTGGGAGATATCAGACCTACTTGTTCTTTTCCCTTGTGTAGTGAGTTAGCACCATTTTCAATATTGAGAGCCATGGACTGATGAAGCATTAACTGCAGAAGAAAAAACAAACCATTTTTCTTACTCTTTAACTTTGTCATTTTATCACTTGTCATTTGATTCTGAAGTTATCAGTAGCTTACCCTCAGGCAGTACCCCAACTGACTATTAGCTATGGGTCTTTTCCAAGGCCAGCTGTCAGTATCAACTGTCAGTATCAAAGTGAAAGCTTCAGTCCTACCAAATTAGCTGTTTAGGTTTTTAGATGGTTGGAAATTGTAGGCCAGTAGTTCTCAGACCTGGCCACATATTACAGTCTCCTGGGAGTCTTTTAGAAACTACTTCCCCACACCAGTTGAACCGGGACCTCCCGGAGTAGGGCCCAAAGATCATTTGTTTTTAAAAACTTCCCAGGTAAGATTCTACTGTGAAGTTTGGGAACTTCAGCCTTGAATGGCTAACAGGTGTGTCAGCCCCCGAGCACACCATGAGAATGTTATTTTCTCTGTGTACTGTGATATGAAGAACATCGAAACAATTGGCTTCATGTTTCCCTTGTGTCTGACGATCTCGACTTGCCGTGTGCTTGGTCCTCACTGACTCACAACCCTGCGTGCTGCGACTTGTGTCTCTGCAGCACACCATACGGGCCCCCAAGGACGGCACGATCAAGAAAGTGTTCTACAAAGAAGGGTCTCAGGTGAACAGACACGCCCCTTTGGTCGAGTTTGAACAAGAGGAATCTGACACAAAGGAAGGCGAATAAACTCCCGTCAGAGAAGTGGCCAATGAAAAGTATCTTCAGTATCTGTAGCGAAAAGAGGAAGTGCCTCCCTGCTTCTCCTGGGGTCTCAGGAAGAGCAGTTTTACTGGATGACTGTACGATTACGTTAAACCCTTTCACATGTGAGAATCACGCACTTGGGTCACAAATAATAAATTATCTTCCAATATTTCATACAAATAAAATTGAGTTAACCTTTTTTATTGGAAGCTATTGTGGCTCATTTGTGCCTCAGACTTTCTGCAGTGAATTTGGGCAGCAACTTTACCAAAGAAGAATGAGTGGAAGAGGAAAGGTCCTTTAACTAAACGAATCATTTTCCGGTCACAATCATGGTAAAGATGACAGCCACGTGTTTCAGAGACAGATGACATAGAGCTAAACTCAGCCAAAGTTTTGTTTTTGCCAGCTTATCAGGGAGTTTACAGGCATGGGTGTTATTCTTGTCTTTGTGATCGGGAAGTGTCCGTCTGGCCTATCTCTGCCTTCCTTGCACTTTCTAGAGTTGTACAATATATATACAGTCTTACACCACTGCCCAGCACATACTCTGCTGACTACTGTGGACAGCTGCAACACAGCAGTAAATAGTTGTGTGTCTGGCCATATCTAAACATAGAAAAGGCACAGTAAAAAGATGGTATAAAAGATTTTTGAAATGTGTACCTGTATCGGGCACTTACCACGACTGCAAGCCACTCTGGGTGAGTCAGTGATGGCGAGTGAGCATGAAGACCTGGGGTGTTACCGTGTGTGGCTGTGGTCTCTGCAAACACTGTGCACCTAGGCTACGCTAAATGTATTAAAAATTTTTTTCAATAATAAATTATAGCTTACTGTAACATTTTTATTTTATAAACTCTTAAAATTTTTTATTTTTGTAATAACACTAAGCTTAAAACACAAGCATATTATACAGCTATACAAAAATGTTATTTCTTTATATCCTTATTCTATAAGCTTTTTTTATACTTAAGCTTTTATTTTTTTTTAATTTTTAAACTTTTTTTTTATAAAAACTAAGACAAAAACATCTATTAGCCTAGGCCTACACAGGGTCAGGAGCATCGGTATCACTGTCTTCCACGGCCACACCTTGTCCCACCAGAAGGTCTTTAGGGCAGCAACATGCACGGAGCGGTCCTCTCCCAGGATAGCAGTGCCTTCCTCTGGAGCCCCTGAAGGAGCTGCTGAGGCTCTCGTTGAAGAGGTGTCACTTTTGTGCTTGGTGGTTTGCTTGGGTTGTTCTTTTGATCATCACAGGTATGCTTGTAAACAGATAATGCACCACGAACATTCTATTAATGAAAAGCTTGTGGTGTTGGGGTCCATGTTTTCAAACTTTTTAAAGAACTTGTAGAGGTCTGCAAAAGCTGCTAAACCTTTCACTAAGGATTTCCTTGGGGGTGGCCCTGGCTGCGTAGTTCAGTTAGTTAAAGCATTGTCCCCTTAGGGTTGTGGGTTTGATCCCCACTCAGGGCACATACTAAAAAGAATCAACCAATGAATGCATAAGTAGAAAAACAAATTAATGTCTGTCTGTCTGTCTGTCTCTGTCTGTCTCTCTTCCCACCCTCTTCCTCTCTCTCTAAAATCAATTTTTTTAAAAAACAACTTCTTGCCCTGGATGCTGTGGGTCAGTGGATTGAGTGCAGGTGTGCAAAGCAAAGTGTTGCCGGTTCAATTCCCAGTGAGGGCACATGCCTGGGTTGCAGGCCAGGTCCCCAGTAGGGGGCATGTGAGAAGCAACCACACATTAATGTGTCTTTTCCTCTCTCCCTCCCCCTCTCTAAAAATAAATAAAATATTTTTTTAGAAAACTTATTGGGTCTTTTCTTCTGCAGTTTCTTTTTCTCTTGCCTCTTCTTCAGCTATGCATTCCTAGTTAATTCCTCAGGAACCACCTCTGGGAGCTCCTCAGTGTTACCCTCATCCACACCCAGCTTAGAGTTGTTTGTCATCGCAACCACATCCTTGTTGATTTTTGCAGCCTTTGCACCATGACACTACGACAGCTGTGTCACCAGGCAGTAGGAATTTTTCAGCTCCATTATCATCTTATGGGACCACTGTCGCTGATGTATTCCTTCCTTGGTCAAAATATTGTTATGCAGCGCGTGACTACTTTTTAAGGATATAGTTTACTATATATATTTAAAAAAGTAGAATAAATAAGTCAAAGTTTAAGACACATATGTAGCACTACATGGCTGATTTTGGAAGTCTGTAAAGGCAGTACCACACCGTATCTCCTGGAACTGTTATTTCACTCATTATTGTGATTCCAAAATTCATCTTGTTGACACTCTTAACCTGATTATTTTGTTGTTACCCCTTGTGGCAAACAACTCAGTTTCCAATGCTTTGCTATTGCGGATGATGTGGCTGTGAACATTCTTAGTGCACAAGTGCATCTGAGCATTTCTAAAAGTGGGATGTTAAGCCACAGGGCACGCAAATGCTCCACCTTGTGAAATGATGTCAGAGTCTCTTAAAGGGGCTCGAATAGCCAGATAAACTCCCTGCTGAAAAAAAATTCAGTGTAACCACTGCTTGCAAAATAAAACCCAAACTGTCATTCCATGTCAGTTTCAATCTGGCCCCAACCTAAATTTCACACCTTTCTCTTTGAGCCCACCCGAAGCACCTCCTGCTTCCACAGTGGAGGGCTGTATATGTATTAGTACATTGCTAGCAACAAACAGAATCTAGATAAAAATGAAGAAATAATATCAAAATAATTATTTCCTAACAAAAGCACGAAAAAAGTATTCAGCAGAGTGGGGCTTTCTACACTTATCCACACTTTATGTAAATTTACCTTTTTTCAAATTTATCCTAGTAAACATTAATAAATCTAGCATGTAGTATGTAATACATATATGGACACATGTGTTTGTGTACATATACACATATGCATATAGAGTCACATGCAGCAGGAATGACATTTCAGTGAACAGGCCATATGCACACAATGGTGGTCCCATAAGATTGTACCAGAGCCGAAGAGTCCCCACCACATAGCTGTCATGGTGTCAATGCATTGCTCACGTGTTTGTGGAGATGCTGGGGTGAGCCAGCCTGTGCTGCCGGCCATGTGATGGTATAGCACATGTAATTACGGATAGTGCAGAATACCCCACTTGGTAATAAATGACTGTATTACCAGCTTATGTATTTCTATGCTGTGTTTTCATTGTTATTTTGGTGTACTCTTTCCACTTGTAAAAAAGTTTGCTGTGAAACAGTCTGCCGTGTTACACCAGCGGCAGCCTCACACATCTCGTGTTCACTGAGCCTCTTAATGGAATCATTTTCTCTTGTGCTTGAGTCGATCTCGGGTTGTTTCATACCGCAACAGGCTGTATGGGTTTGTACACCATCCAGGATTTTGTAAGTAAGTGCACTCTATGATGTTCGCACAAGGACAAAAATCATCTAAAGGCACATTTCTCAAAATGGGTCATTGTTGAACATGACTATAGAATAAAAAATCCAAAGTTAAAGACAGTGATTAGCCCCAGGTATTAGGCACCTGGTTGAGATGGGCGAGGTCAGGTCGATGTAAGCTGCTGTTAATGTTTCAGTGGTAGGACTGGATGACTGGTTTGTTACATTTATCATACAATTATGTTTTGTAACCAACGTATGTTACCTTTAAACTTTTATCATTCAGGTATGCAATATGCGAGTTGGATGGAGGAAGGGAAGACTAGAGTTCTTACAGATATTCAGACATGAGGTAATAAAGGACTAGGCCCTTCAAAACGGTGCGTTTTACACTGTATTTTCCGCAATGGAGTCTTCTCCACATCCAAACAAAACTTTCTTTTCAACGGGGAAAAGCAAAAGTACTCTGACAGAGTGTGGGGTGGCTTTGTGCCCTCTTTCATGAAGATCCGTCCGTGGAACGAGGCGGATTCTTCTCCCCTTGCTTAGGGAGGGGTCTGGGGAGCACAGCTGCTGATGCGCAGAGGAGGGAGGGGCTGGGAGCCCGCCGGCCCGGCCACCCGCCGACTGGTCGGATTCTTCTGAGATCATCGCCAGTTGCAGTGCTGTGTGAGCTGTTCCTTTGTGCATCACTTCGTCCTTTTCTTCTAAAGACAGGGCATTTGCTGTATGCTATGGCCTCTGGAAACAAGGAGTGTAAGAAACAGGTTTTTTTCCCCTACCCTCATTAGTGGGAAACAGGATCTAGCTGTACAGAAAATGGTAGGACATTGATTGACAATAATATAATATCCTGTGCATGAGGTGCTGTGGGGCACCAGGTGAGTGGAGTAATAAATTCTACTTCAGGTCTGGAAGCTGACAGAGCAGCAGTGACGTTGGAACCGGGCTTTGCTGGACAATCATTGCCAGCTGAAGAAAGGACATAGGGCAAGGGTACGACAGGGAGAGCGACTGGCCAGGATGAATAACTGAGACTGGGAGGTGCAGGCTGTGCCCAGACACAGAGCCAGTGGGGGCTGGACCACGGCGGGCGTGGCAGAGAGGGGCTGGGGAGTGGCTGCCCACAAGGGAAAAGATTTTATTCCGGAGGCAACTGGGAGCCCTGGTGATTCTCAGACAAGTTTTTCAGTTATTTCGGCCCACGGTCTGAAGTACAGATTGGAAAGTGGAGAGAGGCTGAAGACAGTAAATCCAAAAGAGGTACCAAATGTTGAAACCTGGGCTGGGTGGGTCTGGTAGGGAGAACAGACCCCAGTACACATTTTCTTGACTTAACAGTAGCTCTTCTTTTGGACAAGGTCCGTGCGTAGGCAGGGATCAAAGCCAGAGTTGCACAGTTGCAAGAAAGCAATTTGCCACCTTATTTTTGACAATAGCATTCTGGATGCGTCAAATTGTGTCAAAATGACACAATTTAAGAGCCCTGATGGTTGCTTTTAAATCATTGGAGAGGCCGTAGAGCAGCTTTCAAGTTAAAATTTTTGCATTTAAACCCTACTTCTGTTTCTTACAGTAGTGTCTTACACAACTCATTTAACTTCTCTGAGCGTTATCTGTAAAATGGGCTGGCAGCACTACCTCATTGGATTGTTCTAGGGAATTAACAAGAAATTGTAGAGATTTCCCTTAGCACTGTGCCTGGAACATCATTTATATTCAGTTGGTAGTCATTATTCATTTCTAACTGCAGTTATTGCTCTAGAGCAATTAAGAAACTGCTCTAAATTCAGCACAGCTGGTTTCTCTTGCC